AAAGTTTGGGCTGTAAAGGAAAATTAGGGAACTCTGAGGGAGGTTGGTGACCTCTGCCTGTTATTCCTTGAAGTTTTCAGACTCTCATAACACAAGACTTGTTAAATATTTCCAAAGACAGACAGCTCTAGAAGTTTGGGGAAGAAGGAAAAGATGTAAGAACAAAACCAGCTGCTAATTTGATGCTCATGGTACTTCACTAATATAGGGTCAGTTGTGGGGGAAGTGTAACGGAAGGGGCAAAATTATAAGTAAATGAACACCCTCCCTTCCTGGACTGCAGGATCCCAGGTTCAACTTCTTTAGTTGGCTGCCCTCCAGCCTTGTTTGACCTTGAAGTTATACCTGCAGGGTGAGGGTGGAGCCTTGTGTTTCCCTAAGCAGTGATTGGCACTTTGCCCTGCTGGCATCCCATGTGGCTATAATAGCCTCCCTATGTGCTCAAGTCCCACAGAGAGGATTCTTGTAGCCCCATGCCCTGAGGGAAGTTCCTTGGAGGAAACTTTTGGAGGTAGATGTGAGGTGGTGAGGCCTCTCTCTGAGATAAGCTCTGTAACCACCCCATCATCCTACCACCTAATTACAGGCTCAAATCTTGGGCCTGCCCTACTCTCAAAAAGAGACAGCACATCCCTTAGGCTGGCACCACAGGCAGACACACCCAAATCTCTCTCCATCTGCCTGTCACCTGGTATAACATACTCTTTCCTGGAGGTCCAGTGAACACCTATGGAAAGGTGTTGGAAGGTTATGGTGCCAGCCTGGTTTGAATGGCCTTAAGACTGCTCATTTGTGAGATACCACCCACAAGAAAGCAGGATTTTGAGAGGCAGAACAAGACTTGCCAGAGAGGCATTTGTTTATTTATTTATTTAGTACCGGGGATTGAAGCCAGGAGTGCTTAACTATTTTTTTCTTCCTTTTTTTAATGCATATAATTTTATTTTTTATATTTTTTTATTGATTTTTAAAAATATGACAGCAGAATGCATAATAATTCTTATTACACATATATACCACAATTTTTCATATCTCTGTTTGTATATAAAGTATGTTGACATCCAATTTGTGCCTTTATACAAGTACTTTGGATAATGATGTCCATCACATTCCACCATCCTTGCTAATCCCCTGCCCCCTCCTTTTCCCTCCCACCCATCTGCCCTGTCTAGAAATCATCTATTCCTCCTGTGCTCCTGCTCCCTACCCCCAGGGGTGCTTAACTATTGAGCCTCATGGCCAGCCCATCTTATTTTTTTATTTTGAGATAAGGATGCTCAGGGTCTTGCTAAATTGTTGAGGCTGGCTTTGAACTTACAATCCTTCTGCCTTAGCCTCCTGAGCTCCTGGGATTACAAGTGTGTGCCACTTGGCCCAGCAGGAAGCCCTTCTTAATAGCCAATCCAACCCATTCAAGGCAAGAGCTAAGTGCAATATGGTCAGCCTCTTTACACTTCAGACCCATATCTTAACCCTGAAAGCAATTCAATCCATTCTTTTCTTTTCTTTCTTTTTTTTTTTTTCTACCTCCAACTCAAAGGAGGGAAATGCAAAGCCACCTTAGGAACGCTCTTTTGGAGAGACAGCACTTCGGTTTCTAGGGGAGACTTTTGCCTCTAGATCATTTCTCAGCAATGTTTCAGGTGGCTCACCAATCCAGGAATGTTTTGAACTTAGATAAAGGTTCTGATTGCCCTTGGATAAGGTTTTTAGTCTATCTGATTCCCTTCTTTGGCTCATTAAGAAAATCTTTTTGTTATGGTGTAAATATGAGGTGTTCTTCTAAAGCTCATGTGTGAGACAATGCAAGAATTCTGAGGTGAAAAGATTGAGTTATGAGATTCTTAACCTAATTAGTGCATTAATTCACTGACAGGGATTAACTAACAGGTAAGTGCAGGCAGGTAGGATGAAGTTGGAACAAGTAGCTCACTGGGAGCATGCTTTTGGGGTTTATATTTTGCCTTTAATGAGCAGAACATTCTCTCTCTCTCTGCTTCCTGTTGCCATGTCCTGATCTGCTTCCCTCCACCAGACCCTGCAACCATGATGTCCTGCCTCACCTTGGGCCAGGCCCAGAATTATGGAGTCAGCTAGCTATGGACTGAGATCTATGAAACTATGAGCCAAATGAACTTTTCCTCCTCTAATTTTTTTTTGTCCAGTCTTTTGGTCACAGTGATGAAAAAACTGACTAAGTCATTTTTATAGTGAGGAAAAAAACCACAAAACCAAAAGTGTCTGACATTTATCTACCAGACATCATGTGCCTCAATTTCTTCTTAAAGATTAGTGGAACTGGGCTGGGGCTGTAGCTCAATGGTAAAGCACTTGCCTTGCAGGTGTGAGGCCCTGGGTTCGATCCTCAGCACCACATAAAAATAAATAAATAAATAATGATAATGAAAAAAAAAAATTAGTGGAATAGGCCTAAGGTCCTTAGGGACCAACTGTCTCTGACAGTCTTCCGCTTAGGTCACCTCCCTTGGTGGCACTCTGGAATACTCTGGGCAAAAATGAGAAATGCTTCCTGGAATTATTTGCATTCCAGCCCACCTCTGGTTACCTGATGCCCTCTAGTTGATCCTTAGATTTGCCAGGGACACTTCATTGAGTCAAAAAGTTGGGTCAATTCACTAAGTGGCAGAGAATATTATGAATATCACTGGCACCAAAAACAACATGAATGGTTAGTGCACCTTTTTTTCTTTTTCCCTTGAAGTTTCAGAATGTGCCAATTGCTGATTCTAGAGGTCATATCCAGGACTGCTGAATGCCATTGAACGTTTAGTATTTGGATCTCTCTGCTCATCCTGACTTGGAAGCAGGTTTATTTATCCAGCATAAAAGGAAGTATTTGAACACAGAGTGTGGTTCCCTTCAAGTTTTAAAAGCAGCAAGACTGGATGAACAACTTTTAGAATGAGAAGCATATTTCTCTGTCCCGAACACTACCTTGTTATCCTGACTAGAGAATCAGAGCTGCAAATGAACTCAACACTAAAAAGGACACATACTTGAGTTAACTAGGTAATGTATTTTGATAAATATGAGCCTTTTCTTCTTGCAAATTCCCTTCTACTGCCATCTTCATTTGGTTATTGAGTTATTATGTTTTATTTCTGGTATAGGGGATCAAACCTAGGGCCTCACACATACTAGGCAAACTGAGCTACATTCCCCCATCTCAGGTTATTTGGGTTTAAACCACTTTGTGAAACTGAACTTGTAAACAATATTTTCATGAATGGTTTTGCTAGGAAATAAAAAACACTGTTTTATTACAATATTGCCTAATGAATGAAATAACTTCCCCACCCACACTTATTATTTGGCCTTGGTAATTTAAACCTACTTACCTGTCCTTTCAGAATCACAAATTTGCATAAAAATTAGAGGAAGAGAAAAGTAGAACAGTAAGCTGCTATAGGGCACAGTGCATTGTTTGCATTTATTTCTTTCCAACCCTCCTCAACACTCAGTGTAGTAACCCCATAAAGGAGGTGTCAGATCAATTGTTGAATGGGCAGAATAATTGAATAGTAGAAATATGCAGCAAGTGCATGGTGTCTAAGAAGAAGAGTAAAATAATAGGAAGGTTAAAAGCCTGCCTGCAGCCTGGAACTGCAACTGTTCCAACCCAGACTCTGGGTAGAGAGAGTCTGCTTAGGTCCATCTGCACATCATTTGCTGCATTGGAGCTATAAGAGAGACTCTCCATAGTAAAGTTTCATAGTAAAATTGGCTTTGTTGCCAATTCATTTTCCCTGCATTAAGGAACATTGAGTTCTCCCACTTCCCTGCAAAGGAGCTGAATGACCCTCTTCAATCCCTTCCTAACTGCTTCTCTTCTCCCAAGCAGGTAATCATTTTGATCACTGCCCTCTTACAGCCTTGCATTAATAATTCAGAAGCTGCTAATAGAGGAAAGACATGGCCCAGTGAATTCTGTCCAAGCTCTCTTCTAATCAAGTGAGTAAAAGCCAGCATTGTACTGTGCCCTGTGGCAGTGTTTTGTTGATGATATACATAGTTTGATAAAGCCCAGGCCCCTAGAATTTTTCCTTTTTTCTATTCTTACTTATGACCTGTCATTCTTCCCCCTTTATTTATGCAGCTTGTGTTTTTCCTGACCCCTCTCCTTCACCCTTGTCCCTAGACAGTAAAGCTGGTAGAATGTGTTGATGTAACTTTTGCCCCTGTCCTGGAGTTGGAGCCCCTGCAGCATGACCTGCTGCTCTACAACAGGGCTTTGCTCTAGCTGGATTCATTCTCACCACGTGGGCCTGTCCAGAATGGGCAGCAGCCATGAAAGTCCAATCCAAATTTTATTTTATTTCATGAGACATTATTATTATTATTATTATTATTATTATTATTATTATTAGATATTAAATACAGAGGCACTCTACCACTGAGCCAAATCACAGTATTTTTTTTAATTTTTATTTTGAGACAGTGTCTTGCTAAGTTGCTGAGGCTGACCTGAAACTTGTGACTCTTCTGCCTCAGCCTCCTGAGTTACTGGAATTACAGGCATGTGTCACCATATCTAGCTATTTCGTAAGACTTCGTGGAAGTTGAGATGGTTGGAATGAAACCCTCACATTGGAAGCATGTAGTGTCTTGACTTCTCAGAGATGTCATAGAATCCGGATTTCATTGTAATATTTTACACAATTCTGCTATACTACTGCTCTTTTGGGGAGGAGTCTGGGGTGTGGGCAATACCTACCACAGTTTAATTACTCATTAGTTTACAAATAGGTCCTCTACCAAGATATAGCTATCTGTTGCAACCAGATATTGTTTCCTCCTCAGCCAAATATGGATATTATCAAACCTCTCATTCCCAGCAGGGTTTACTGGTATCAAAGACCTTGGGAAAGGCAAAAACTCAATGTCAGAACCCCAGTTTGAGACAAGTGATACGGGATGCACCAAGAAACTAATTTCGGAGAGATTTGAGACTGGAGTTAATCATTCATTGATATGACAAATATTTATTGGGTGTCTACCATATCCTGAGTGCTGTACAGCAGTGCATAAAACTGGAGAACTGCTAAACCAGAACAACAGATGAGTTATTAAGGGCTCCAAGTCATGGAGATCCAAGAACTCTCTGCGGAAGAAAGGAAAATTACCTATAAGTAGGAGACATATGCCAGCTCAAGCTTGAGTCTTTCCTTTTTCTTATTCTTTCTTTCTTTCTTTCTTTCTTTCTTTCTTTCTTTCTTTCTTTCTTTCTTTCTCTGTCTCTCTCTATCTATCTCTATATGTGTGTGTGTGTGTGTTTGTGGCCTAAAATAGACTCTTCCATTAGAGTTATCACTGAAGCCTGATAGAGGTATCAGAGAAAAATCAATATCTTCCTAGTATAAGATTGCAAGGAGGAGGAAAGGGGGAATGTGACCTCTCCCCTTTTTGTGGCCCTTGGACACTAGATCCTGGAGATTTTGTTTTGTTTTGTTTTAAGGTCAAAGAACTTAAGCAAGGGAAGCAAAACACAAGTGGAATTCTAAAACCTAGGTTTTGAGGCCAAGTACTATAAAACTGTCCAAGCTCCTGAAACAGATTGAATATGCAGGGTTAGCTTGATTCTGTTGAAAACTGTATTATCACAGATAAGCACTAATTTAAGTAGATGATCTAGAAAAGGTTAAAGCAATGCTAAAAATAGAAGAAAGAGCAAGAAAGTCATTTAAGATTTTAAAGCATTATTTGTAAATTGGCCTACAAATAATTTAGTGTAAAATTAGAAATAAAATAAAAGGGAGCTTGGATCTTCTGGGATCTTGGGAGATTTAGAATGCCAACAACATCATCTTCCAGTGATTCTGAAAAGGAATTGCATATGAATTGGGTCCTAATTTTCAAAATTTTGATCATATATTTTGTTGCTTTTTGAAAAGGCATTTCCACAGAGTGCACAAATCCTTTCTTCAGCATGTCCAGCTGTTTCTTTTCTTTTTTCAGAAGATCCTTGTATGTTTCAATGAAACATTGTTTTAGGCCTCAAGTTTATATATTAATTAACAGATTTTCCTGAGAAGACATAAACTTCAGATGCTCAGAAGAACCTAATTCACCACATTTTTTCATTTTATTTATTTATCATGTGTGTGCATGCCTGCATGTGTGTGTGTGTGTGTGTGTTTGTGTGTTTGTGTGTGTGTGTCTGTGTTACTGTGGATGGAACCTCATCATACTCTATCATTGAACTCTATCTCCAGTCCCTTTTTATTTTGAGACAGGGTCTCACTAAATTGCCAAGATGGCCTTGAATTTGTAGTCCTCCTACCTCAGCCTATATATATATATATATATATATATATATATATATATATATATATATTTCAGTTGTAGTTGGACACAATACCTTTATTTTATTTACTTATTTTCATGTGGTGCTCAGGATAGAACCCAGTGCCTTGCATATGCTAGGTGAGTGCTCATTGCTAAGCCAAAACCCCAGCTCCTACTTTGCTTAATTTTCTCTCTCCAAAAGTATTCAGTTGTTTTCAAGAGACTGTGGAATTCACTCTGAAAATGAAAAAAAAAAGTTTTCAATTAATTTAAATAAAACTACTAGCCAACACATAGCACTTTAGGTGGGAAAAAATAACTGAGGGTTTTGTGAAACGTGAGTAAACTTGAAAGATTTAAAATGACAGGACACTAAAGCAGCTTCTCCTGGGTGTGCCTCCCCTCCCCTACTGGGCCCTGGGGCAGATTAGCAGGAGGGTTCTCTCTCTTAAACTTCAAAATTCTACTCATGGAAGAACAGCAGGTTTTTGATAGGTATACCTTCCCACACTGATATCTTGGTCCCTTTGAGGTTGCTTCGTTTGTGTGCTATTGTGGGAAGTAAAAGCAAAGTCTGTCTTCTCCAGACACCAACATTTATTTTTAATCAAGAGGACACAGAAGCACCAATAGTAACCGAGGTAAAATTTGCTAAAGGCTCAAAGGAAGAGAACAAATGAAAAACTTTCATACAGAAATTCAGAGGAAGAAGTAAGGGAAACAAATAATAAGAAGAGAAAAACAACATAGGAATAGCTATTGGAGTAGTCCAGGTATGAGGTGGTGAAAGCTTCAACCAGAGTAGAAGTGGTAGTGATGGGAACCAAGAAGAGGAGATACCTCAAAAAAGAGCAGTAGTTATGAAGACTCACCAAGTCTCAGTGAATGACTGGATGCTAAGGAATGATCCTGGAGGAATGAACATCATTCCTGAAGGAATGATTGATGTTTTGAACACAAGTGACTGAAAATGTTTCTAACACGGTATGGAATTCAGAGGAAAGATCCATTGGAAGACAGAGAATATGGCAGAACTGGGTGATTCTGGCTTTGCCTGTTGATGGAAGGTGATAGTTGATTCAGAAAAACTTGCAGGTATGTAGGAGAGCCCTTTACTAAGCACTTTTCAGATTTTATTCTATCAGTACTTACAAGATTTATAGGGAACTGCAAAGGATTACCAAAAGTGTAATGAAAAATGAGTGCCTGGACTCAAACTCTGCTCCAAGTCCCTACTTCTTTTTGATGGCAACTAGATGACAGTAACTTGGCATTTTTAGTAGGTCCTTTAATGTTCATCTAGGGAAAGGAATGTGTATTTAGTAGGTGAACTTATTGAAATTTGTAGTTCAATGTATCCATCAATGGAACAGGAGATGGGTTTCTTGGTGTGGGGGGCAAGGGGAGTGTGCATTCCAGTAAACCCAGCTATGCTGTTTACTCCCAAAGAGCCTGAGGATTCAAAGAAACAACTATTCCTAGTATAGGGACTGGTGCATATAAGTATGTAATAAATCCATTGTTTTTTTTTTTTTTCAAAAAAATAAGTAGCTACTGCATGTTGGGCATTGATTAATTTTGGAAACACAGCACTAAAGAATTATACCAAGTTCCAGCTGTCAAGAAGCAGCTACTATTCTAAAGGGAGGGGACCAATGATCAACAAGTAATTCAGTATATGTTGGATTATAAATGCAGTTGAGAAAATTAGCACAGGGTAAAGGGGATAAAGAATGAAGGGGGAAATACAATGAATAAAGACGCACTGGTACTCAAAAAAAAAAAAAAAAAAAAAAAGAATGGAGGGAGCTGGGGCTGGGGTGTAGCTCAGCCGGAGAGGGCATTGATGTCACCTGGCAATCAATGCTGCTTTCTCTTCCTGATCATTTACAGGCTACCCTGGGGATTATCTTCTCAGAATTATTTGAACTCTAACTTTCTTAAACTATGGAATGGGATGGGGGATAATCATGGAACAGTGTGTGGTTTTATTTAATTTGCTAAAATTAAAGTTCAGACAATCTTTCCAAACTTCAATTTGCTTGGAACGTCAAAGCAAAGAATAAAAAGGCAAGATTCCTGGATTGCTTTACTGATTTAGCATTTACAAAATATTTGAAAATTGTCCAAAATTATAGGCTTTAGTGAAGTGGAAAAGGATTTCATTAAAAAAAAAAACAACTGTATGTATATATAAACAAAAATATGTGCAAAGAAAAGCAAAAAGCATTTTTTCGTGTACTTGTTGATTGATTGTATGTCCTCCTCTGAGAAGTGTCTGTTCAGGTCTTTGGCCCATTTGTTGATTGGGTTATTTGTTTTCTTATTGTTTAATTTTTTGAGTTCTTTGTATACTCTGGATATTAGGGCTCTATCTGAAGTGTGAGGAGTAAAAATTTGTTCCCATGATGTAGGCTCCCTATTTACCTCTTTTATTGTTTCTCTTGCTGAGAGAAAACTTTTCAGTTTAAGTAAGTCCCATTTGTTGATTTTTGTTATCAACTTTTGTGCTATGGGTGTCCTATTAAGGAATTTGGAGCCCGACCCTACAATATGTAGATCGGAGCCAACTTTTTCTTCTATCAGACGCAGAGTCTCTGATTTGATATCTAGCTCCTTGATCCACTTTGAGTTAACTTTTGTGCATGGCGAGAGGAGGGGATTCAGTTTCATTTTGTTGCATATGGATTTCCAGTTTGAAATGCAAATCAAAACCACCCTAAGATACCATCTCACTCCAGTAAGATTGGCAGCCATTATGAAGTCAAACAACAACAAGTGCTGGAGAGGATGTGGGGAAAAGGGTACTCTTGTACATTGCTGGTGGGACTGCAAACTGGTGCGGCCAATCTGGAAAACAGTATGGAGATTCCTGGGAAAGCTGGGAATGGAACCACCATTTGACCCAGCTATTGCCCTTCTTGGACTTTTCCCTGAAGACCTTAAAAGAGCGTACTACAGGGATACTGCTACATCGATGTTCATAGCAGCACAATTCACAATCGCTAGACTGTGGAACCAACCCAGATGCCCTTCAATAGATGAATGGATAAAAAAAATGTGGCATTTATACACCATGGAGTATTACGCAGCACTAAAAAATGACAAAATCATAGAATTTGCAGGGAAATGGATGGCACTAGAGCAGATTATGCTTAGTGAAGCTAGCCAATCCCTAAAAAACAAATACCAAATGTCTTCTTTGATATAATGAGAGCAACTAAGAACAGAGCAGGGAGGAAGAGCAGGAAGAAAAGATTAACATTAAACAGATAAATGAGGTGGGATGGAAAGGGAGAGAAAAGGGAAATTGCATGGTAATGGAGGGAGACCCTCATTGTTATACAAAATTACATATAAGAGGTTGTGAGGGGAATGGGAAAATAAACAAGGAGAGATATGAATTACAGTGGATGGGGTAGAGAGAGAAGATGGGAGGGGAGGGAGGGGGGATGGTAGAGGATAGGAAAGGTAGCAGAATACAACAGTTACTAATAGGGCATTATGTAAAAATGTGGATGTGTAACCGATGTGATTCTGCAATCTGTATTTGGGGTAAAATTGGGAGTTCATAACCAACTTGAATCTAATGTATGAAATATGATATGTCAAGAGCTTTGTAATGTTTTGAACAACCAATAAAAAAAAAGAAAAAGAAAAAAAAAAAGCAAAAAGCAATAGTTCAGAAACTCTGGCCATGGGGCTGAAATATAATTTCTTCTCCCATACCTGAGGAAATCATGCAACAACTCTGTGCTTCAGTTTCCTTGTCTATAAACTGATTTTAAGAAGAACCCAATTCTATAGTTTTTCTCTTCCGAGACTTCAACTCCTACTTTTGTTTTTGATAACTGAAACACTGTTTTGTTCATTTCTGACTTTTTTTTTTTTTTTTTTTTTAGGTGCTGGGGATTTAATCCAGGGGCACTTTACTACTGAGATACATCCCCAGGCTTTTTCTTTTTTCTTTTTATTTTGAGACAGGATCTCACTAAGCTGCTTAGTACTTCACTTCGCTGAGGCTGGCTTTGAACTTACAATCCTCCTGTCTCATCCTCCTCGGTGGCTGAGATTAAAGGCGTGTGCCACCAGGCCTAGCTGACTCTTTTTTTAAAAAGAGTTGAACTGATGTTGGACTGTAACAATTTCCTATTTATATATGGAATCCTCCTTTGCAACAAAGTGCAGTTTCTGTTGCTTCTTAGTTTCCTTCTGGGACAGGGAACAAGAGAATGTTAACAACCCCAGGGTTCTTAGTACTACAAAAAAGCCTTGAATTATTTCTTTTTTGTGATTTCTTCATGCTTTGAAAGATATTGGTCACTACTATGGGTACAGATGTTAAAATGATCAGCAACGTGACAATACTGGACAATAAAACCATCTTAAAAGTAAATGAAATATTGTGTGCTAAGATTTCTACTCATATTTTCCCCCTTTTAATGCTCTTGATATAAATAATTTCTTATTGTTATAAAAACTTGCATTTTTTCAAATACCTCCATTCTCATTTTAATTTGTCAAAAGAAGAGATGATCTTAAAAACAATTTTTAAATACAAAATTGCTTTTAAAATGGTTTAAACATGTTTAGTACTTTTGCAGTCTCAGCTTTTACTTTACATTAAAGAAAAACTCTCTAGACATTATTTTTTTAAAAACATTCTTTAGTGGTCAGTGGATCTTTTAAGGTTTTTTTTTTTTTTTTAACTAGCTGGCCTTCATTTTTGTTTTTAATATTCTTGCAAACAGTCAGATGGCAATGTAAGCTGGCACAATGCCTCATATTTATTTGAATCACTCTTCAATGTCAAACCCCAAGAGAAAATAGCCCAGCATTTTGCAGACAAGTTTCTTTTCTCCGATGCTGAGGTACAGTGATCTGTGAGATAGTATCATTACCCAGGGAATTGCAGACCCAAATGACAACTTCGTCACTTGTGAAATAGAAGGAGCATTTGCTTTCCAATTTCCTCTTTGGGTTTAGTTCTCATAGTGACATTAGTCATGAGAAATCTTGAAAACTTCCCAGAGCCTCCAAAGAACTGATCCAATAAATCATTAACTTCCATCCTCCTGCTCACTTCTTTTTGCTTTAGCCCTTACTTTCTACCAGGAACAGATATTTCTGTATTTGGTCTGCTTATTAGTATGTGTGATATATTTAGGAGCTGTTGGTAACCAATTGTTTTGTGAAAACAATTGGTTAGTGTTAGTGATGTCAACTTCATTGAGGTTCTTTGTTTTTTTCAACTTCTACTACAGTCCTTTCCACCAGGTGTCAGCATCTCCAACATGCCCTGCTCCAAGTCATCCTATAACCTGCTGTAAGATTTACCTTCCCTAAACTCCCTATTGTCCTGTAGTTCCCATGTTGAAAACTTTGAAGAGCTCACAGATGCTCCTTTGGTAATATCTAGTCCTCTTAGATTGACATTCCAAGTTCTCCATTATCTGATAATAGCTCCCCTGCTCATATCCAGTTGAGTCTCCTGTCTGACCCTATAGTCTCTTGCTCTCCCCTGTCTCCCAGGAAAGGACATTCTGTGTCCAATTCTTCTTCACCTTTCAAGGTCTACCTGAATTCACGCTTTAAAATCCTGCAATCTTCCTTGGCCATTGTAGTTTTCAGTGATTTTATTTCCCACCTCTAAATACTCAGACTGACCACTTATTTGGGACTTAAATCATACACTCATACTAAAATTTGCTATGTGTAAGGGCTTAATTGTTAGTATTCGATGCATGGACTAATAGAGATGGAATGGACTTTAGATATCATCCAATTCAGCATCTTCTGTAACAATGTAACACAGAACACTCAGCTTCTACATGTTTGCCTTTGGATGAACATTGACTGACATGGTGCTGTGCTTCAGAATGTAACCATTTCATCTCTGAATTGCTCTTATAATTAGAGACATCTACTTTTTGAGGAAAGATGCCCCCCCATCCCATTTCAACCAGGTGAGAATCTAAAGTCTCCAGAAAAAGAGGGGGGGGGGCGGTATTGAGTGAAGAAGTACTGTGAGCACAGGCTACAAATCTGTCCTACAGCCTCACAAGATATCTTGATAGAAATGCAAATTCCATGAGCCTCAGACTGAACCTATTGAATTGGAAACTGAGGGTGGGTTCAGAATGTGAGTTTTAACAAGTTTGAGGAGCACTGCATTGCTCATATGAAATCGAAAACAGCTGGTGGCTGTGTTTTTGCATAATTAAAAA